CGAGGTCTCTCTTCTGCGTTCATAGCTCAGTAAATCTCGTTCTCTCCTGCCATCGGCCTCAATTTCACGAATTTCCCGAATTTCCCGTCTCTCCCTTGCCTCTCTCTGGTTGATGGCGGCCTCTTCCTCCTCCCGTTCCCGTGCACGGCGGCTCCGGGGTTCAGAGCCCTCCAGATCCCGCTCCCGTTCCAGATCGATTCTTCTCTCCCTCACAATCTCCTCCCTCTCTCTGCCCTGGAGAATCCTCCTCTCTTCTTCTTCAGGCTCCCGGGGTCGTTCGCTCCTCCTCAGCTCCTCTCGCGGTTCCCGTTCCCGGATCTCTCTGCGGATTTTCACATCGGCTTCAGCTGCAGCAGCCACCGAGGTCTCCCGTGTCCTCTCATAATCTCGTTCTCTCCTTCCATCATCTTCAATGTCACGAATTTCCCGCTCCCGTCTCTCCCGTGCCTCTCTCTGCCGGATCGCGGTCACTTCTTCCTCCCGTTCCCGCCTCCGGCGCTCGGAGCCCTCCAGGTCCCGCTCCCGTTCCCGATCGATTCTCCTCTCCCTCACGGTCTCTTCCCTCTCTCTGACTCTGGAAATTTCTCTCTCTTCTTCTTCAAAAACACGGGGTCTTTCCCTCCTCCTCAGCTCCTCACGCGGTTCCCGCTCCCGGATTTCTCTGCGGATTTTCACATCGGCTTCAGCTGCTGCAGCCACCGAGGTCTCTCTGTCCCTTTCGTACCTCACTGATTCTCGTTCTCTTCTTCCATCGGCTTCCATTTCACGAATTTCCCGCTCCCGTCTCTCCCGTGCCTCTCTCTCCCGGATGGTGACCACTTCTTCCTCCTCCCGTTCCCGCCTCCGGCGCTCAGAGCCCTCCAGGTCCCGATCCCGTTCCCGATCGATTCTTCTCTCCCTCACGGTCTCTTCCCGGTCTCTTTCCCGGGAAATTTCTCTCTCTTCCTCCTCCCGCTCCCGTTCCCGTTCTCTCCTCCTCAGCTCCTCGCGCGGTTCCCGTTCCCGGATCTCTCTGCGGATTTTCACATCGGCTTCAGCTGCTGCAGCCACCGAGGTCTCTCTTCTGCGTTCATAGCTCAGTAAATCTCGTTCTCTCCTGCCATCGGCCTCAATTTCACGAATTTCCCGAATTTCCCGTCTCTCCCGCGCCTCTCTCTGGTTGACGGCGGCCTCTTCTTCCTCCCGTTCCCGTGTCCGGCGGTTCCGGCGCTCAGAGCCCTCCAGATCCCGCTCCCGTTCCAGATCGATTCTTCTCTCCCTCACGGTCTCTTCCCTCTCTCTGCCCTGGAGAATYCTCCTCTCTTCTTCTTCAAAAACACGGGGTCGTTCTCTCCTCCTCAGCTCCTCTCGCGGTTCCCGTTCCCGGATCTCTCTGCGGATTTTCACATCGGCTTCAGCTGCAGCCACCGAGGTCTCTCTGTCTCTTTCGTATCTCACTGATTCTCGTTCTCTCCTTCCATCTTCTTCGAGTTCACGAATTTCCCGAATTTCCCGTCTCTCCCGCGCCTCTCTCTGCCCGATCGCGGTCACTTCTTCCGCCCGTTCCCGTGTCCGGCGCTCAGAGCCCTCCAGATCCCGTTCCCGTTCCCGATCGATTCTTCTCTCCCTCACGGTCTCTTCCCGGTCTCTTTCCCGGGAAATTGCTCTCTCTTCTTCTTCAAAAACACGGGGTCGTTCTCTCCTCCTCAGCTCCTCACGCGGTTCCCGTTCTCGGATCTCTCTGCGGATTTTCACATCGGCTTCAGCTGCAGCAGCCACCGAGGTCTCCCGTGTCCTTTCAAAATCTCGTTCTCTCCTTCTGTCATCTTCAATCTCACGAATTTCCCGCTCCCGTCTCTCCCGCGCCTCTCTCTGCCTGATCGCGGTCACTTCTTCCTCCCGTTCCCGTGTTCGGCGCTCGGAGCCCTCCAGCTCCCGTTCCCTCTCCCGATGGATTCTCCTCTCTCTCGTTTCCTCCCTTTCCCTGTCCG